CCCCCCGGCCCGGCCCGCCCCAAGCCCCTCCTCCGTTCCTCCCTACTCCGGGTCTCCCGCTACCAACTCGGCCTCCGCCTCCCGCCGGACCCCTCCACAGCTCCTCGCCCTGCGCCTCTGGATGCTTTTCGCGGGACCGCCGGGCCTGGAGCTGTCCGCCGCGTGGTGCTGAATCCCCGGGCGCTCCCGCTCTGCGCTGGAGCAGGTGCCTTGAGGCCCCTTCCACCCCAGAGTCAGACTGCATCCCAGAGTGAAGCGGAAAAAGGGCACAAGGCATGGGGTTGGGAAGGTCACTGATTCCGAGAGGTGCTCACGGTGCAGTTTACCATTTTCGAGAGCAGAGGAGCTGGCCCTAGGGTCCCAGGGTGGTCCCGGGATAGGTAAAAGGGCACATGGGAGATAGGTGGAGTGCTTAACCTGCTGCCACAAGTCTGTCCCTGTCCTCACATCCATTTGCCGCACCCAGAGACTGCAGCTCAGTCCACATGCCAGGCCTGAGGTGGGGGCATGTGTCTTCAGCTTCAAGTAAGAGCTGGGGCCTGAGTCACTAGGAGGAAAAGATTAGAAGGAAAAGACTAGGTGGTGGTTGGGGGTGCTCGGAGGAGGATGAGGCGTCCCTTTCCTTCCTGCAGATGATCTTTAAAGCTACTACCTGCCCCCCGCCCTCCTCTAATCCCCACTCCCATGTACAAAGGGTATTTATGGCAGATACATCGACCTGTGGGGGTGGGGGTGGGGCTGCAAGGCCAGGGACTAGGGTCAACCCTAAGGGACATGCTGGGGCCGACAGGGGGATCAGGAAAGGGAGGGGGCTGGGGAAAGCCTCCTGGAATTGGCTGCTGCGTAGGAGGGAGTGAGAGCTGGAGCCTAAGGAGAGGGAGGACAGCTCTGAGAGGATGCTCTTGACTCCTCCCTCCCACAGCAGGATGGGGATGGACACCCCTGCATAGGGGGTGGTGGATAAGCTGTAGTGCCAGACTGTGCTGAGGGATTTGGGGAGAGGGCCTGCACCCAGATCTAGCCCCAGAGTCTATGCTATCTGCCACCAACATGTACATACACTTTTAAGTGCTAAGGGACACAGCATCCCTACACATTCCTCTGGCACTGCCCTTTCTTCCACAGGTGTCAGTGGAACTAAGGTCAGCTCAGACACATGCTAATGAACATGCCAAGCCCAGGCCCCTCAGGCACACAGATCCACATATGCATATGGCAGTTGGAGCAGGGGGGATCGCCAAGAACAGCCTTTTGCACTGTACACAGAAATCCCATGTCCCACTGCTCTGGAAAGAACACAGCTTTGAAACAAAACAGACACATCAAACCCAAACAAACCCAATTACTAATGGAAGAGAAGGTGGCAACGGGATGAGGGTTCAGAACTGTCAGACAAGGCTGGAGAGACAGACATGCTGTCCTTCCAGTTCCCGCTCTGCAACCGGCTGCTCTTGCCCTCTCTGGGTAGCTCAGAACAACTGCTCCCTGGGGTAGGTGGCAATGGGACAGGTCCCTGGAGCAGACGGGTTGATGTCAGGAGGTTACTCAGGTGAGAGGAGCCGCACAGCAACCCCAGCCACACTCCCAACCCACTCACCAAGGCAGCCTCATAAAAGACACAGGTATGGCTATGCACAGCACCAGGCAGAAGCCCATTACATGGCCCACAGCAAGTGAGCTGCACAGTCCCACTGCAGCACACAGACATGCAGTTACACACACAGCTATGCAGCCACCACTCCCAGCTGTGTGTGCAGACAAGCACATACACCCAGCCTTACACGCTTAGCTCTATATGTGGATGTGGCCACATGCATAGCAATATACATACACACATAATCACATACATCTATACAAGTAGATGCAGCCATAATACATAGCTGTACATGTGGCCACTCCCTGAAGCACATGTGGACATGCCCACACACACATCTGTACACATGGACACACAGCTGTACACATGGACATGGCCACACAACCATAAGAGAACATATGGACACATGGCCACATAAATAGCTGTACACATGGACATGTCCACACATACAGTTGTAATACACTGCTACACAGATCCATAGCTTTATATATGGACAGACATACAACAAAAGAGTTTTAACACATGAACACACAACCTTATACACAGCTGTTCATAGACACACACAAATAGCTGTATATGGACAAAGCCTCCATAGAGATGCTCCTAGCTAGCCAGCCACACACACCCCTATAATATAACCACATACAGTTAGACACACAAAGCACAGCAACACACACACATAGCCACATAGCCATCCACACAAATACAGTCATGCCCAGCCATGATCATATCCTGATATTCACTCGGGCACAGCCTCACCTAAGAACGCCACCAGCAGCCCCATCAGAGGTTACACAGAGCTGAACCCAAGTGCATGTATGCACATGCACACACACAGGTACATAGGCACTGGCAGGCAAGCAAAGATGCCCTCACCTGCTGGGGAGGTCCCAGCATGAGCACAGGCACACTCCAGCCACAGACACAAAGGCATTCCTTGGAAGCAGACAAAGGCAGGTTGTGAACTCTCTACCCCTGAGCTCCAGAGGGCACCCTGTGCTCAGCACTCACACCCCTTGCTTTGCTCCACCTCCTCTCCAGCAGTCTGGGGGATCCCCTAGGGATGCTGCAATGGAGGGGCAGCTGTCCATTGAAGTCACAGAGCAAGAAGCTGGGAGCTTCCAACACCCCCCTCCCCCCACCTCAGGGTACCTGGCCATGTTCCTTCCTCTCCTTGTGCTTGGGGGGGCTCCTGTCCACTCCCAACCTACCAGCACAGGATTTCCCAAGGTAGAACTAGCCAAAAAATGCACAGCCCAAATCCAGGTGAAACAAGAAAATCATTTGCTTTATTCAGGGTCCTGGAAGCTCCAATGTGAGCCTGAAAAAAAAACAAAACAGGGGCAGCAGCCCTGGGGGCTGGTGCAGAAAACAGTCCCTGGCTCCTTTGGCCCTGGGAGCCAAAAGGGCAGTGAGGAGAGGCTTAGCTAGAGGCCTGGGGTGGGGGATGTCAGGTCCCCCAGACACTCCCAGCCCTGGCCTGGGCCAGGAGGTGAAGGAAGAAAAGGGCTGGAGAGTGCTCAGTTCCTTAGCAACTGCACCACAGGAGGGTGCAGGCCATGGGTTACTCCTTGCCCTTCTCAGGGATACTGGGCTTCTGTGGCCACTTGGTGGCCCCCAGGGGCTCAGTCTCAGGGGCCAGCTGTGGCTCTCCCAAGGGCCCCTCGCCCTCCAGATCCAGCTCCTCAAAGGATGAGCCACTGGCACCCGACTCGCTGTAGCTGTGCTCGCTGCGGGTGTCACCATCATCCCAGCCATGGCTGCTGGCCCCAGGGGACAGTGTGGCAACTGAAGTCTCACGGCTTCCGGGGCTCACCTCCAGGCTTATAGAACTCGTTTCACTCATTGTGTCAGCTCCTGTGGCCAGGATAAGGGAGCATAGGTTAGCCAGGATTGCCCCTGTCACCTCCTCCTGGGAGAAGGCAGAGGCTCTACCACCGGCTCGGCAATGGCAACTCAACATACACGGTCCACTCATGAATAATATAGCCACTCCTGGCTCAGGAGGCTCATTCCAGCTGCCCTCTGCCCTCTGCCCTAACTAGGGCTGCACTGATGCAGAGGGAGAGAAAAGTGGGGGAGGGAAGGAGAGGGGAGAGCAGCCAGCTGTGCACTCTTCTCCCTACCCTGAATTAGCCTCAGCTCCCTGCACTCCCACAAAGCCTACTGTCCTCTCCCCCACATCCATTAAGGGCCACTCAGCCCCAGGGTGAGGAGCTGAGGGTAGAACAAAGAGACCCAAGTAGAATCCCCTCCATCCCCCACCCATTTCAGGCTTGGAGAGAGACCTGTCCAGGGCCAGCTACAAAACATTGTTGCATAAGGCATGAGAACTAAGAATGGACCAAGATGCCTACTCTCCAGCCCCCCTCCACCATGCAGGGCTCCCCAAGGAGCAGCCATATCCGGGAAGTCAGCTGGACCCTGCCTCTGGCCCATGTTGTGTCCCCTCTTGAGGAGGAGGCTAAACAAAAGTAGGATGGAGAAATCCTGAGATATACTCCACCAGTTGCAAGGAAGGTGCTGGGATGAAGCATTTTAAGGGCTTTCTCCCCTATGCCTGCATCAACCCAGAGGAACTCATATCCACCCCACCCCCAACCACTGTGCTTCCTAAGCCACAGGGCAGGAGAAGGGGACCATGAAAGCACTCTGCTGGTGTCTGGGGAGCCCCAAAACTGTTGGCTGAACCGAGGACCTAGACCTCTTCTAGCCTGCTCCTCCTACCTCCGATACATCCTCCAAGCAAGCAGCCCCTTCATTTGCCCTGTCCAGGAGCAATCCCTCAGTTCATCTCCCCAGATCAGAGGTACTAAATGCAGTTGGGAGGTGGCAAGGAGCAACAAAGAGCTCATGCTCACTGTGTGCAGGAATCCAAATTGAGAGAAGGCTGATAGGCCACCTTGCCTGTGTGAGGGGAAAAAGGGCAGCTGTCAAACACCACAGAAAGTGAGGGGTGGGCCGGCTTCCCTAGCTCCTGTCTCCACAGTGATGGAGCCCTGAGCCAGGAACAGCTGGGAACTGCGTGGCATTTGGACTTGGCCTGGAGCTTTCTTTGGCCTGGAGCCTAGGTTGGGGTGGGAGGGGATTTAGGGTGTGCTCCCACAGTCCACTTGACCCCCAGAAGATGCCCTCTGGGCCCTGACAGGTGAAGTGAGCCCTGAAAGTGCCAGGCTTCTGGCCCAGGGCCCTCCTATTGCTGGGGCCCCAGGCATAGTTTCCAAGGTGGAGGCATGCAAGTGGAACGGAGTGGGAGTCCAGGCTGAGCTTTAAGCTATGGGTGGTTCCCTCTGACACTGACGCAGGATTCCAGCCCCTCACTTGCTCCTTAAGTAATGATCAGTGCCCCAGGAGCTACAGGCCTGAAAGGAACAAAGGAGGGGGATAGTTTCTTCCTGGCCCATTAAACTGCCATGTTCTGTCTGCCCGCCCACCCACCCATTGGCTCTCTTGAGACCCTGTTTTGGGACCTGCCTACTTCCCAGCCAGCTACCTCCTCCCTCCCAGCTCCCGGGCCAGGAGTGACCAGGAAGGAGCCCAGGGTGCCTCCCAGGGAGCAGCATGCTGGGATGAAGACAGCCCCTGGGGACATATGGACACCTCTGGCAAAGAAGCCTGAGGCAAGGAAGTGGCATATCTACAGCCCCAGCAAAGTCTACACAGAAAGAATTCCCACAGTCCTGAGCCTGTATCCCTGGGGAGAGGACACCAGGCAAGAAAGGGCGGTATCTAAATCCCCAGGGCTACTGGGGTGGGGGATGTGAAGCCATCAACTTCACCCCAGTCCCTCCCTCTCCCTCTGCCCACAGCCAGTGCAAGATCAAATATTCATCACCTCTCTGGAGCTAAATAATACATCAATGTAATAACAGGCACAAGGCAGCTAATCACCCCCTTTCACCTCCCAGCCCAAGCCAGAGCCTCAGCAGGGAGGCAGGCAGGGACAGGCCAACCTTTGGGCAGCCAGGCACCTACCATGTACCCACCACACACTGCTGTGTAAGTGGCATGCACCTGGTGGGTGGACACCCAGAGTCTGCCCTGGGTGTCAGGACAGGCCCTGTCAGAGGTGGGCAGACCCCTCATCTCCCACACCAGGGATTGGGCGGGCAGGCTGGTGGGGAGGAGGACAGAGTGAGGAGCTGGGGGGTGTGGGAGCTGCGGCTGCAGCCAGCTGTAGCAGGTGCCAAGTAGTCCTTCAACACCCAGCCAGGCAGTGTTTGGGAGAGAAGGAAGTTGGGTGGATGGGCCAAGGAGGGGGAGGCAGACAGCAGAGGGAGGTTGCAAGAAGGTCAAGGTGCTCCTCCTTCCTGCCTTGAGGGCTGCCTGGGCCTGCTGACCTTGTGCCACGTCCTGTGCCCACAGTAGGGGCACTGAAGAGTGTCTGCCAGGCACTACCAAGCAGAAGGGAGCAGTACCCCATGGAGGTAATTAAGTGGCAGATGAAGTTAACTGTATTGGACACAGGCCCCTAGGGAGTAGAGACTGCCTCCCAGTACTCTCCCCACAAGCCCCTGCCAACACGTCTCTCTAGGGTGACCTTGGCTGTTAAAGACTGGATGGGCAGAGACAGTCTCCTAAAGAAGGATAGGAAGAGGGACAGTCCCTCTCCCCATAGCCCAGTACTACTCCTAGAAGTCATGGACTTCCAGAGCCACACAAGACTTCATCAGGATGGCCAAGTATTGGGCCCCACTGGGACCACTTGAGATATTACCAGCCGACCCCCATGCCCCTAGGGACAGGATCACAAGAGGTAATAGCAGGTGGGTGGGCTGAGAGCAGGTAGACAGCCTGCTGACCTGGACCTCGGGCATCAAGGCTGCCAGCAGGTGTAGGGCACGCTCAGGTAGAAGAGGCAGGGGATCTGGCTCACCCCTGCATGCTCCCTAGTTGCATTTTGACAGGGAGAAAAGCAGCTGGCTCTGGGTGGGGCCCCATACTGAGGGACAGGAGAACACCTTGTTCCCCTCCTTACCTTCCAGATCCAGTGCCAATCTTACTTCCTGAGGAGCCCCACCCAAGCGATTCCTTTCCTGAGCAGCCTCATCCCCCTCCCATGAGCATCCAGCTGTCTGTGATCTGTGTTTCCAAGGGTACTCCTGTGGCATCTGAAGGGAATCCAGGCAGGGTCTTTGTATCTGTGTTGCCAGGGTTAATGGGTGTGAATCCACAGCTACATAAATCCACGTGTCTGCAAACAGGCAACTCTGCATGTGGATCCTAGGGTAGGTGGATCTCCTTCCTCCCTCTGCCAAGCATAGCCTGACACCCACAGTGCCAACCTAGACAGGGAGGAGCCTCCTCAACCATGCCCCTGGACATCCAGAAGAGGGGGCTCCAGGCAGGGCCTCACTCTCATTCCCCCCCACCCCTTCCATACCTGTGCCATCCATTTGGGCGTCACTGGCCTCCAAAAGCCCCCGGCATTTCCGCTCTGTCTCCTTCACCTCAGGCACATAGAAGTCTCCCTGCCGTGCCAGTGGGCACATGAAATAGATCTGGTCTTGCTGGTAGATCTCCAGCCGAGGGTGGGCACACAGCTTCCGCTCCTAGCCAGAGTGGCAAAAGGTGGAATAAGCCCTACCAGGTCCCTGACCCACTTGCTCCTGGGTGGCCCCTGAGGAGGTTCAGCCTCCTCCTGAGGCCCAGGGCTGGGGTAGGCAGGTGGAGAAACAAACGCAGCTATCAGTGTGTTTAGAGATGGGAGGTGCTGGGAATGTGGATTCATGAGATGTCTATTGCCTGAGCCAGTCCCCCACCCCAATCTCTTCCAAGTTCCAAACCCCTTCTGAGGTAGGCACATGCAGAATACCCTGACAGCAGGCCCCACACCAGGATGCAGTGGTCTCAGAACACAGGAGTCCTTAGAACAACACCCTAGGGCAGGTGCTAAAAGAACGCAGGAGCCTGGCACTGCTAATCCTATGTGTCTGTCTGGGACCAAAAGACTGTTCCAGAAGGCACTGGTCTCACAGAACCATGAAACTTAGCACCCCTGGATCACCCCAGGACAGGGACCCCATGAACTATAGCCCCAGGCACCCAAGCCAAGGTCGGATCTGTCAGACTTTCCTTTCCAGGATGCCCTGACCTCCTCTCCACCCTAGACAATGCTGACTGACCCACAGATATCAAGAGAGTCCAGGGCCCCTGCCCCTACGGACATGTTACCACAGACCCTGAACAGGGTGCTCCAGGCAGCTAAACCCTGCTCCCACTCCCATTCCCCTGCTAGTTCAGGTCCAAGTCAACCTCTGAGACTATCAGATGTGGTCTCACACTTTCTCACACCTGGACCTAGGGTTTCAGCAGAGGAGGAAGAGGAGCAGACCCTGGGCTGGAGGGGCAGGCAGGACAAGTAGGTATAGCACAGGACATTACCCAGTGAGCTAAAGTAGCAGTTGTTAGGGCCCCAAGTCCTGACAGGTACTCCACTCCCCTCTGCCTGGACACATCCCCAACTACGCATGGAAGGGGGCACAGGCACATGCCAGAGCTGCCCTGAGGCAGGCAGGAACAATCAGAACAGGGGTCAAGTGCCTCTCGCTCAGAACCCCCAACCCTTTCCTGCAATAGAGCACAATTACCCACTAAGATGACTGCGAGGCCCCTGCCCTGTCACAGCTCGCCCGCCAACCTTCACAACACAGCTATTTATAGCACCCGCCCGGCTCTCTCCAAGAGCTCTGAAATGAGCTTTCCACTTAGCAGTAATGAGAGACTTATTGCCTGGTGGGGAGAAGCCACTCTAGGACTCCACTTGTCAGCCTGCCTGGCCAACCCTAGGGCCAACCCTCCTCCAAATAAAGCAAGTGAACAGCAGTAAAAACAAGCCCACAGAAGAAAAAGGAAAGGAGGAGTAAGCCTGAAAGGCTTATCAGCTAGGACCCTCAGTAGCCAGCTGGAGGGAGGGTGCATCTAGGAAGCCATGTGGGAGGTGATGGCCTGGCCCAGGTCTAGCTGCGGCTCAGCCTCTAAATCCACAGGTGACCCAGGCAGAGCTTTTCATCCCAAGTTTCCATGTGCTCAACTGCAGAGCGGAAAACCCTACCCCTGATGCTTCCAAGGTCAGTGAAACAAAGTCATTATTTTTAATAGTTTCAGTCCAATCTTGTTTGCCAACCTGGGTGCACTCCAAGCCTCCTCCATCTCATGAGTCCACATTTCCAACTCCTCCCATCTCTAATCATACCGATGGCTGCCTTTGCTTCTCTACCTGCCCACCCCAGCCCTGGTACTCAGGAGGAGGCTGAACAAGAACATGATGTAAGGAAGCTGGAGCTACCAGGCTCTGGGGGCCCTCAAATGCCAACACTTAGAGGCAGCATCTGCCGAACCTTAGCCTCACTCAGCAAACTAGACCAGGTCATCGAGGCCAGGGAGCCTCCCTGAAAAAGGTCCAGGTCCTTCCCTGGTAGCCAGAAGGAAGAAAAGTGTCCCCGAATCCAGTCAGGGCATGTCCTTCACCAGTATCCTCCTGCTCTGAGTATTTGAAGGGTCCAAAGGGAAGCCATGAGTGGCCATTGGCTATCTCAAGAGCTACAGACAGCTAGCTTTTGAGGATGTTCCCAGAGACTGAAGCCTGTGTCCACCCAGAGATGCCAGGGACAATGGGGACCCTACCCCAACCCCTGCCAACACTAAGCCCACCTCACTAGCTTCCCTTCTGGAGGAGCTTGGCAGTAGTAGCGATGATAAAAGGGAGTAGTGTTCTTTCTACCCTCTCTTCTAGGTTGGGCATCAGGGTGGGCAGCACCAGGCACCTACCCTGTGCCACCTGCTCTGCCAGCCCCCTCATTGGCAGGCGGGAGGCAGCTCTGTGGCTGCTCTGCGCATCTGCCTCCTCCAGAGAGCTGGGCTCTGAAGTTGCCTGGCTGTGGACAACCCCGTTGCCATGGAAACTGCATCCTCCATCCTCACAGTCGCCTTCATCTCAAAGCCATCAGGGAGAACAGAGGAACGGGGAGATGGAGGATGGAGGGAAAACTGTGGCCCAGCTACACAACCCTTCCTTCCTTGCCAGGCCCTCCCTCCTCACAGCATGCCACACAGGGAGCACTAACTGCCCAAGCCTGCCTTCAGGCCCCTGGCAGGGCAGCCTCTGACCCAAACCCAGCCTGGTCCTACCCCCTGCCACCTGGGAACCCCTGGCCCTCCCTACTGGAGGGAGGCAGGGAGCTAATTAAAATCCCATTGACTGCTCAGCCCCATATCATTATAGTACATACTGAGCCCTGTCAAAATTCAGACTCAGGAGCAGAGAAGGGACAGGAAGAAGGCAAAGGGATGAACTTTCAAGCCAGGCACATAGGCAGGGAAAGGGCTTATAGCCGCTCCCGCAACCCTTCCTGGGAGACCCCTCTCTCTTCCATGCTCTGCCCACTAAGCAAGAATGAGTCTAGTGGAGGCTGAGGTTGGAGGATGAGGGAGCAGGAATAGCCATATGCCCTGTCCCTGAGTGATCAGGCAAAGAGAACAAGCTCTTTTCCTGCCAGGTGCAACCTCTGAAGGAGGAGAGGGTGGCCATGGCTGGCTCTCAGGTCCTCACTGCAGAGCAAGAGCTATGGCCTGGGCAGCATGTCTATGAGCTGGTAAATATTGGAAAAATCACTGGAGGAAGGCAAGGCAAGCTGCCTCTCCCCAGCTAGCCCCAGGGAGCCCTTGGAGAGTAGACTGCCAATGGCCAAGAACATCAGCTCAATTCCATACCACCTCTATGCTGGGACTGCTGGAAAAAGGCGACTGGATGGGTCTGGAGTCCTCATATTCCTGGGCACAAATCCTTCCACAGCCCAGACAACCAGAGGTGCTGTAGGGACAAGGGTACCTGCGCTGGCCACTGAAGCCACTGGCCATCTGACAAGCCCACAACCCATAGCAGCTTACTCCCATACAGACTCAAGCAAACCATAAGGCCACTCTCCAAGGTTGGAGAGATGCAGACATCCATAGTGCTCTCCACTTAACAGGAAGAAGTCAGGGAATTGTGCCAAGGTGCTTCCAGGAACTGCTGGACACTGGATTCAGGAGTTCCAATTCTTCAGACACATGTCTAGGCCTTCCCTCCCACCTGGGTCTTCCACAAGCAGAAACAAGGAGGGGACAGAGGACACCACCCACGATGTAGGAATTTCTAGGAAACCTCAGTCACTGGCACTTACACCCTTCCCCACCCTCCCCTGCACCAATACCAGCTCACTCACCAGGGATGCTGGTGGACAAGGGAAAGAGCAGCTCACCCACCTTACACGAGGCTTTTACAGTGCCACTGCCTCAGCTATCGGCAGAACATAGCACACACACATTCCTCAGCTCAGGCTGAGCATATCTCGGGATGAGGGGGCGCGGAAGCATTCAGCCCACTCAGCTCAGGTCCCACAAAGGGGCCAGCCTGGTACGCTAGGCTGATGTTATCCCACAGGACTCATGGTGCCTCTCCTGGCAGGTCTTTCTGAATTAGAGGAGAGGGAGGACGGAGGTAAGACAGAGCACCTGAACTATCCTCATTTAGTGTTTTGCTCTCAGAACATCAGCCTGTGCCCTGGCTTCAGCTAGGGGTGAAGAGGGATAGAAGACAGAAGAGGTCAGGCCCAGACTGGAGGCTGAGGGTGGATTCTACCTCCAGCCTGCCCAGAATCTGGGCTTGCTCAGAGCTAGGTGGCCACAAATGCCCAGAAGGAGGAGGCATGGATACAGGCCAAGGACTGGGTGGGCCACACATCTCCTAGCTCTAGGCCCAAAAAGGGATGAGATCTGCCCAATGCATCCCCTCCCCATCGCAGCTCCTTACCTCCTGCCTCACTGGGGTGAGGGGCACTGGGCCTCCCTGTTAACCCTGAGCCGTCCAATCCTACTCCATCCCTCTGGGCCAGTCTGGATAGCCAGGAGGACACACATGCAGCAAGCAGCTGTTGCATCCTATCCGAGGTGGTGACTTCACTGGGAGAAGTGATGCATGCTCATTTTTAATTACACAGACACCACCATGCACCCGTCGGCACACAGCCCCCATGCAAGTATGGGCTCAGACCCTGGAGGCCCCTCAGGCAACCGATCTGCATCTTGCAAGCAAAGTGCCTGGGGGGAGGCACAGCAGGGAGGCTGAGGCTAGAATGTAGCACATTGTTATTATTCTGTCCTAACCTCCTTCAACTTCCCTCTCCTTGGCTTCCTCTCATCCCCACCAGGCCTCACAGCAGCCCCTAGCCCAGAACCTAAACCTGCCTGTGGGGTGCTCTGGGAGACCTGCTATGCTAGCAGGAAGAGCTTGCAGAAGGACTGGTGAGTACCCTCTTCCCTCCCCACTCATAGTAGGAGGGCCCAAAGCCCTAAAAATATCAGGCAAAGGAGACAGGGAGTGAAACAGGATTGCCATGAAGGGGAAAGAAGGTCCCAGGCTCAGAAGCCCAGAGCTTTGGCTTAGCTATTGACAAGTGGGTGGCTCTCCTCTAAGCCTCAATTTCCCCAACTATGAAATAGAAGGATTAGAACAGATGATCCCAAAAGAAGTGAGGAACTGGAAAGAATGGATAAAAACATCATTATTTAA